CGCACGCCGCCCCGCCCAGCCGTGGCAGTACTCCCCTGCCTGCCCGGGGCTCCAGCGCAGGGCCAGCAGCAGCGCCAGGGCACCAAGGACGCCCCTTGCCATGGTGGGTCACGCAGGGTGTCTCACCTCCAGCCGCTTGGCCCACACGGCCCTTTTTTTAATCCCCTTCTTTTTTTGGAAGGCCAGGCACCCACCACCCCAGGCAGCTGCAGAGTGCAGCGCTCCCGGACCACCAGCTGCCCACCAAGGCACTGCCTAAGCTCCTATTTCAGGAGGTTTTATCTCTTGGCCTGTGACCTGCCTCTAATCCCCTCTCTTTACAGCAACAAAGAAGGACCCACTAATTGGAAACCATTTGCAGCTACTCCAGCTCCACCTTCCTCATTTCTCTTCTTCATTCCTGCAGGGAGCAGCCACTGGTTCCTGCTGGAGGTGGCACATCTTACGCTCAGGGTTAGGCGTTTCGACTGGCCTGGCACCGTTAGCAGGGCTAAGGAGTGCGGGATGCAGAAAGCCCAGGGCTGTGGCTGTCCTGGTACCTTCAGGGGCTTGTCAGTAGCTGAAGTGTCAGAGGTGGGAGGCCGGGGACAACACATGGTGACAAGTGAGAAATGAAATTTCCAGAGCAGAAAGAAAATAGAGGGAGAACCAGCTTCTCGTGGGCTCTAAAGTGTTATTAGTACAAACTGGTACCAAGGTAATTTTTACCTTGTTTAACATGGATAGTCAATGACATAAATGCAAAGAAGATGTTAATCTGAAAATGTAGGAAAAATTAATTTTGAAAGCTCTAAGTTGGTCTAATTTCTGTCTCCGTGGTTGAAAACCTAGAGGCTGAAAATTTACAGGATCTTTTGTGCTTCAGCTTTCCCTGCACACAGTGCGATCCATGGGTTAGAAAGCGTGTTTCAGGGGACAAAAGGCCTATTTTAAGTTCTCTAGAAGCTTCATCTACAAGGAAAATCCTGCAGTGTTACAAAGACCCCATAGCAGCACGGTAGTGGTAGTGACCTCTTCATCTTTGAACTAAAAATAAAACCAGACCATTTGTGGGTTTTCTTAGTCCCCTTACCAGTCTAACTACTTGCTATATTAACAAGATCCATGTCTGAAGCATCCTTAGCCTGTGCTTAACTGAAGTAAGGAAGAAAATTGTTGCTAATTGAGCACTTTGAAAAGCAGGGAGTTAGGGCAACATCTTTTGGATCAATATCCTGGTGATTTGTAGCACTATTTGCAGCTTTTTTGAAGACTCCAAACCATGTTCTTGAGTGTACACAACAGCTCGTTCCCACAGAGTTTTTTAGGAGCCTTGCCGTTGATTGCAGAGGGAAGCTGTCCAGTGATGCACACGTTTAGAAACATTTGTGCAAAATTATCTCGTTCTGATTATTTTTTTGTTTAATATTACATAATAGCTTGCACATTTATGCTTTATTAACTATTTCATAGGTTCAGTTGAGTCCTATTTCAGTCTGCCAAAGACATCAGCACTCATCACCTTTGCCAGTCCGTCACCTTTCGTGCATCAGTTTTTAATTGGCTTTTTGGCAAGCGTGGTTAAAGAGATCCTTGGATTCTTAAATTAAACCTCTCTTTAGCACTGGAGAGCTTTCCAAACACTGCTCAGCACATTGAGAGATGCATTTTGCCCGGCTGAGTTTCAGCTCTGCGAGTGTAAGGCTGGCTGACTGCATAGGACCTAAACCTATATCCACGCGCCCGATCTAGAAAATACCGAGCAGCCCCAACACGCTTTAAAAGAAGACAGCCGGAGGTGAGTGACGTGCTCTCTTGGATTGGGCTCTCAAAGCACTGAAGTAGTACTTTAAGCCCAAAGCTGTAGTTGCCTTAAGGCAAATTCTAGTTTATTTACACATTCGACCTCAGCACTATTAGGCCAGACTAAATACTAACTTTTATTCGTTGCTGTTAGGGGAAAAAGCAGCCTCAGACAGGCTTTAATTCCTAAAGTTGTTCGTTGCATTAACACTTTGAATGATGGCTGCCTTTACGTGATTTCCTCTCTCTGCATATACACCAGCTTTAACAGCCATGTATTATTTTCTCCTGCATAGGATTACGCTGCCTCACTTATCAGGGATAAACTCTGTGAAGCGAACGGCAGAGTTCCTCTCCAGGGTCTGCAGGTGTGTTTGTGTGTGTTCCAGGGGACATTGGTTTCCCGATTCTAAATCTGTCCTCTTCTCTTTGTCATAGCCTGTTCTGGGCTGTGATGTCCACTTAACCGCTGCAGCAGCAGCTGGATGTAATCGTGTATAAAAATTGTATAGCCTTACATAACTTGTGACCCACTTTGAGTTTTGACGGGATAAAAAGGGCTCCGTGGATATATTGGGATGCAGGTTGTGAACTACAAGAGTAAAATCATGAATAAGTTTCTACCCTAATCCCTTCTGTTCAGTCACTCGCAGCTTTCTTAAGTCTTTCACCTGCCAAGGTGAAATTTTTCAGACTTACTCTTTGCCAGCTTTGGGGAAGCTTTAAACAAAAGCAATCCGGCCTGTTTTGCATGAGAGGACAGTGATGATGGTTTCCCATTATTAACAACAACAAACAATCTTGTTACCTTTTCTGAGTATCCCTGCAGCCAAAACAGCTTGAGCTTTGAATTTACAAGTTACCATGGAAATAGCCCTTAGAGAGAAGTCTTTCTTTCCCATGTGAGGGTTGTTTTCTTGTTTAGGGAAATGTACATTCCCCCGTCGTGAATTTTATGTAGGCAGCAAGATGATTAAAAATTCCTGTTACTCTAAGCAGAAAGCACAAACTGGGAACTTCTGGTTTGCAGCTGCTTTGCCTTCCCTGCAGTACCCGTGCTCAGTATCGGCATTTTACAATCTTCTGTAATGTGGAAGGCTGAACTCTGCCACCAGATTTCGGGTATATTCTTGTCATTTCTTAATGCCAAGTGAACCTTCAACACAGAACAAGAAACGAGGGAAGAACTAATCCCTCTCTGCTAACAGGAGCCTGCAGTGCGATGGTCAGATCCTGTAAGGTGCTGATCAATTCTCCCCTGGTGCTACGTGCGCTGCTTCCCTCTGACATCAGGTCATTCAGCCCCGTGCTGGGCGATACAGGAGGCACAGTGAGAATGCCCGACAGGAGCTGAGCTCTTTGCATGGCCTGAATGCCGCCTGTGAGAAATTACGCAAATACTCTGCGATAGATAGCCAGGCAGTCCAGAGACTTCATTTTCACCGCGCTTGATGTGCATCATCGATGCCACCTGCCTCCAGCTGTTAGCTGCAAGACTGGGGGGGGCCCTCTGCACCTCGGTACTCCTCTGGATGTCTCAACACGTGAGGGGGGAGTGCGGATGTATGGTGCTGGCCGGGGAGCCTGGGCGAACGGCTTCCGCTTAACCACGGAACGTAGAGCAACCTCCTTCTCCCTGACCTCCCCGCTGCCTTTATGCACGTCGAAAGATCAACACAAGAGGGAAGGAGCTGGTTGAGCGTGAATGTTGAATTGAGAGAGGCACAAGGGTGAAGAAAGAGAGAATCAGACCTGTCTAAGCCAGGAAACAAGGAATGAACAGGGGGAGAGAGCAGGCAGGGAGCCAGACTTGGGACGCTGAATCGTGGTGTGAGTGGGCAGCCTGGTAAGGAAGACCGAGTCAAGACACGTAGGAAGGAGGGTACCGCTCTGGAGACCTGGGGGACTGCTTGTGGTGTCACGAAAACTAGCTGGAGCGTCATGGAGTTCAGCGTAAGCTGGAAAGCAGCTGCTCCCTGAGATGACTGCTTTCGAGTTCTTTAGGGACCTCTGTACTCCTGCCTGCCTCACCCTGTGCCATCCATGCAGGTGTAGTCCCCCAAGGGATGAGGAGTTTAGGGGAAGAGGGAGACTGGGACTGACAGGGCAGAAGAATCACGGTAGGAGCCAAGACTCAGGAAAGATTGATGGTTGTGATTCAGAGGGAAGAGGCGGAGACCGCAGCTGGGATGGAGTGGAGGAGCCCACTGGCTGGAGAGGAAGGCTTGCTAGGCGAGTTTCACAGGGGTTCCTGAGCCCAAACCGTGAGCCTCATGGGACTGAAATCAGTGCTGTCTCCTACCACTGAGCCATTCCGTTCTCCCGAAGCTGTTGAGGCCTGATTTTCTGCTCACGTTGGTGTAAGGCAGCCGCAGGGAGCTACTGCTGGCGCATAGGCTGGTGCTAGCAGGTGAGAGTCCCACAGAGCAGTCTCCTAATTCTGGCTCTGTATAATGCAGACAGGGAGCTCCCTACAGCGACTGCTTGCTAACTGAAGATTTGTCCTTTAACAGGAGTCCTTTTATTAGTAATTATGGTCGTATTGCTTTATTATGGTATAATTAAGGAAGTAAAAATGCAGGAAAGACAGTAATTCAGGGTAGAGGCAGGAGGCCCATGTGCCAAGGTGAGGGCCCGCACACATCTTTCTCTGCACATCATTAGTGGGGGTTGATTAGTGAAGGGGTGTCATCCCTGGACCAGGAGCCTGCTGTGGATACTTAGCAAAATCCAGGCTCTGCCATTCTAATGAGGGAACTACAGGAGAAGCTAATAGTTACTTGAGTGTTTCATCCGATGCAGACGAGAAAGCTGCAGTATCAACTGGTTTCTGAAGATACAGATTTCAACCTGGTGTCAGGTTTTCTTTTGTGATGTGGTACCAAGGTGTCCTTACGTTATTGAGACGGTAGCTCTCTCTAATGTAGGCTTGCATGGCTTCCTCTGTTCTGCCAATGCTTTGGCCAGGTTTTAGGTGAAAAGAGACTGGAGAATCAACAGCATTAGTATCTGTAAAAACATATCCTGCCTCCGCAGAAGAAAACGAGCAGACCTGTAAGCTTATTAGTTTAAAAAGGGACACAATCACCACATGTTTTCTACAGAAGCCCGTTGGCTGGCGTTAGTGCCGTGTGCTCACGGGAGCAGAGCCACTGCTGATGCGTGGCTTTACCTTATCCACAGAAGTGCAGGTAAGAATGATGAGTCAGAGCAGGCACTGTGGAGCGTTAGGAACAGAAGGTGCTGGCTGGAGTAGCCAGCTCTCCTTAGGACTGGAGAGGTCTCCAGTTTACTTCTTTTTTTTTTCCTTCTTCTTCTTT